TTGGGCTTAATACGCGGCTGGGCCTATTAACCGTGGGCTTAATAACCGACGATTACTGTATCCCCTTGCACATGTTCTTGACAAGAGGATAATTATGCTTCCTAAATTTCAACCACATTCATTCCAAATTTCTTTTACTCAAGCCGGACCCGGATATCACTCTTCTGGGTTTGAAGTCTCACCTTTGGTCGCTTGCCGCAAAGGAGTCCTTCTACGATCGGCTGGGACCGCCGTCGGAGTACATATTCAAAAGTATCAACAGTTCAGCGGAGGAGGAAGAACTCTACGATGAGAACCTTACATTCTCCTCCCTCGATCTCCTGCTACCAGTTATCCGCTTGGAGAAAACGGCGGATGATAGTAAGGTTGTCGCCCTCAACACCAGGAACGCCATGATTGCAAGGTGTGCGAACTATTCATTGCAGCTTGAGCACACTTTCTATGTTGGTACAACTTTTTTCTGTCTGCTTACATATCAAATTTTGCTTTGCAACCTCATGGGATGCTCCAAACCGGAGCTGTAAGTCAAAACATAACGCCGATATTCCTTCCCTTCGTAACAGTATGTGTAAATAATGCAGTGTTTCCGAGGTCATAAGTTTTGTCGAAGGACAGTCAGATAAATTGAATAACTGTAAATGGCAAGAACGATTAGTGAGGCCTAAAAATATTTTCTACTTATAATGGAAAACTACTTCCTTCGTTTCAGTAGGCATATCTTCCGTTTTCTTCCCCCGCGGATTCACTAAGCTGCAGGAGTTGGTTCGAGCGCCGGTTTTCGTCCTTTGAATCGTACGTTTCACCGCTCCCCCTTAAACATTGCCTCAGTAACCTTGTCCAAGGTCTGCGGACGCCTGCCCCCACTTACGCGCGCTCACCGTTGTTCCAACTGGGGTTAGCAATAATATTAAAAATGCGCCTCATTGACTTCACCCGAGGTCAGCGAAACTCCCCAACTTACACGCGCTCGCCGTTGGTCCAGTGGGGGTTAGTAATAATTTTTAAAAAATGTTAAAAAGTATGCCTACTGAACAGAAGGAAGTAGTTTTTCATCACAAGTTGCAAATATTTTTAGGCCTCACTGATCATTCTCGCCCTACTTATTTCCTGTCTGTTTGCATATCAAATTTTGTTTCGCAACCTCATGGGATACTCCAAACCGGGGCTCTAAGTCAAAACATGACGTCGATATTCTCTTCCGTAGTAAAAGTCTGTGTATATAATGCAACGTTTCCGAGGTCAGAAGTTATGTCGAAGGTCAGTCAGATAACTCGAATGACTGTAAATACTTTTGGCCTTTTCGTATTGCAGTGCTACGTTTCGTCACCGGAATAGACGCACCCAAGGTCAGAAGCTATATCAAAAGACAGTCGGGATAATTCGGATATTCTTGATGTGTCAAGAGGCAGTCATGGTAACTCGGTGTGTTTATTCGGGGTGCTTAAAGGAGCAGTCGTGTGAATGACAGACGCGTTACTGACAGTTTATAAGGAAATAAGCACACGGGGCAGGAGTCAGAGAACCAGAGGGCGAATAGAGGGTGTGAACAGAGGCAATTCTGTGCCGGAAAGGGGAGTGATTTGCAAACGTTTGAGGTCAGCGGTGGTGACGGCTGTAATTGAACCAGAGAAAGGAGCGGGGCAATAGCAAGTGGCTCTTGAAACAGTTGTCTCTTGATGCAGTGAAGGGAGGGGATGGAAGCAATGTGGGAAAAGGTGATTAAATGGCAAGAGAGCCAAACGGGGGGTGGGGACAGTATTCGAGTACTACTTTAGTGGTACTTGGCCGGAGGACTAGTTTTAACACCAGTGTGCATTCAACAGGAAACAAAAGGGTCAAGTCCTAACATGCCGTTAGCAGCAAATGAAATCCAAAGATGACATTGACGTGATGAAGGTCACAGTTTGGATTCGGCTCATTAGAGCAGGCGAAAACCCCAGCATTCTGTACTACGAGACCAGTAGTAATAGGGGTTAAACGGATGGAAAATATAATTGGACAGAAAAAATAATTAAAAAGTGGAGCAAATAAAAAAAGAAAATAATAGAAACAACTATTGACATGACCTAATGTTCAGTAGCAAAAAAAGCGCACGATAATTCAATACTGAGGGAGACTAAACTAAGTTAAAGTAAACCGAAACTAAACTCAATTTAATAAAACTAACTAATAAAGTAAAAACCAAACCAAAGTCAACTAGAAAAACTAAAAGTAACCACGGGATACGAAAACTGTCCGTGTGGGGAGTGCAATGTGGATGGACTGTGCCGTACCGTTATGGTGAGAAAATGTGCTTACTACTACATAGTAAGTATGCAAAGTAAGCGTAGAGAGTCCGAAACCAGTCTGTCACCATACG